TTTTGTGTTTTTGTGAGTAGTGGTTTTTAGTAGTTTTATGTTGTATCATAAAATTTAAAATTCTTACTATGAATTAAGATTTTTTGAAACGAAGTTATAATATATATTAGATAACCATTCATTTTATATTTTAAATGTATTTTGAGCACTAAAGTCATCGAGTGTTTTCTCTTACCCTAATTAGGGCGATTGTCTGCGGAATTGGTATAATGATGGAATTGGAAAATAGATGACTGAAATTTTTTCTACTTGTAAAAAATAGAGTCCAAATCATTCATAGTCATAATTATGAAGCGTGTTTTAATACCATTTTTTTAGTTAAAAAACTAACTAGTCTTAATTACGAGTGTCGAGTGGATTTAAGCGCGATTAAGCATAATCGGATCCCAATTAGCAATTGTTACTTAAGTATTTTAAGTATTTTTTTTTAATTTTACTATAAAAAAACCGTTACGGTCTACGCACATTAATATTAGTGAGCAACTACGTTATTTTAAATTAAAAATAAATGATATATAATGGTATTCGACATTCGGTCTTGTAGAAATATAGGCATTATATTTAAATTGAGATAGATGTAGTTGTATTCTAAGCTGGTATGGCAACAGTATGCAGTCCATTAAATGCCATTAGTGTTGTAATTAGTGGATCGAATGAGCTAAGTAAGAGTAGTGTAGCGTATGTGATAAAGATGAGTTATGATGCAATAATAGTATATTGTGGGTATCTATCTATCTATACTATGATATAATATTATAAAGAGGAAAAAATTGTAAGTTTGTATGTAGGGGGTAATCTTTGGAACCGCTGGTCGGATTGCCAAAATTCTTTTACTGATAGATAGCTACAATATTCCTGAGTGCTGCAGCTGCTATAGGCTACAAAACACCACGCTACGATTAAATGGAGCCGAGAAGCGGGTGAAACCGCGCGAAAGTAACTAGTAAGTTATATAATTAGAAGTAGAAAGAGAGTTGGGTGCAAGTGCAGTAATATACCACGGCCCTGGCCTGGAAAAGAAGCAAGAACAGGGTAGTTTTAAGTCAGTAAGAGTCTGATATTTTCTCTCGTCTTACCCTGGGCAGGAAAATCATTTGATAATTTTTCGCCCGGGAAAAGGACTAGTTTGGCATCAGTCTGCATGTATAAAATAAGAACAACAAAATTCCTTGGAAACGGCATCGTTCGTGAACGATACCTATAAAAGAATTTTTTTTTATTACTTTTAAACAAGGCTTACAGACTAATTACATAATATGGGTAAACAAATAATCTTTAATATTGCTAATAATAAGCCTCCACATATATATGTTATTATGTTATTGTTGTCGTAGGACTATAGACATCTCAGACCAATAAACACATTTGAAAACACTTACTTAAGGATAATACTACAACAGTTCGGCCGATAAGTCTGTAATATAAGACAAAAAATTAAATAAAAAAAAATAATGATTGAAAAAATTGTTTTGCTAGTGTTTGCCTCGTCGTGCTAGCGGATGTACAAAAAAGATCAATGTTCAACTCAAGAGGTAGTTTGTTGAAGCTTGACGTGCTCCTAGCAAAGAAGGCATTTCGCCTGTAATTTGTGGATGAAAAAGGAACGCTGAGCAGTGGCCGCTGACGTAAACTGAGTTGATTCGTTTGCAGTTCTAACTTAGCGACAAGTTCGGTACAATCGATTGTGCCACTCGCTATATTCATTAAAAAACAAACATCATTTGTGAATCGTCTATATTCCAGAGGTAGGAAATGGTATCTGTGACAACGTTGATTGTAATCTGTCGAATACTGACGTGCTTTAAAATCAATATATTTTAAGAATTTTTTCTGGATAGCCTCAATACGAGAAAAATATAGAAAAAGAGAGAAAAATAAATTTTGGAAAAATAGAGGGGATTTTCCGGAAGTTGCGACCATATCTGTGCTGAAGTAGTTTGCTTCCAAAACAAATGACTACCAAGGTCATACATAATGAAGCAATACAAAATCAAAAGTTACGGGCTTCCTTCCTTTATTTATCGTTTCCTTATCTGTAAATATGGTAAAGATATACGTGTAATAATAGGGGTTTGATTGGGCAGCTTTTACTATTCATTCGTATATTGCATAACGTTGACGCTTGACTACAGTATTTCCACATATGAAGGTCCACAGTACTTCATTAATATTTATAAACGCATAATTATATTTTGCATAGGACACGTACGAACATGATGCTTAGTATCCTCGGTGTTTGTGAGGAAAAAAAGAAAGAGGTAGTTGAGTAATTAACAGAATGAAACGACATTTCTTTTTTCTGTGTCCCTTGTTTTCATAAACTAGAATAACCTTGTTTTTTTATGTAATAGATCGGCAAACGTGCACACGGATTACCTGATGGTAAGCAACGGAGGAGTTACGAGTGCGTTGCCGACCTTTTAGGGATTAGGGATTTGGAGATTTAGGGATTGAGGAGGGATTGGGGATGGGGAAGGATTGGGCCTCCGGTAACCTCACTCACACGGAAAAACTCAACGCTGTGGTTGTTTCACGCCGGTTTTTTGTGAGGCCGTGGTATCAATCTGGTCTAGCTGACCCATTCGTGCCGAAGCATGGCTCTCCCACACTTAATAAATTGTGTTTGTACAAACATTTTTGCATTAGCTAATTTTAGCTGAGGAGGCTCCTTAGTTCATCTTAATCACTCTGATTGACAAATCACTGCTGATTTGGAAACTGAAGTTGAAAATAGCAGTTTAAAAGATTTAGGTTTATTACAGAGCACTGTTATTCGGTCTTTGTAAAATGATTGTATAGTCCCTTAGTCGACAAAAAAGGGCTTATGTCTAAGGTATTTTACCATGCCGTCACATCACGGATGGTTTTGCGGGCGGAAAATCATCAAATGTCTTCTCTTATCAAATATCTTAGCTGTAGGTACGAGCGTGTCAGATTCTTATTGATTAAATATCACCCCGTTCTTTCACTTACTGTAGACCGGGTTTGCGGTTCATTATTTAATCTAAAATGTATCAACAACCTCGGCTGACGTATTCATTGTCATAAGCGCGGCATGAAAATCATATAAACTTGAAGTCTAAAATTCATGTAAAACCCCTGAACCGATTTTAAAGAAACTTTTAAAATAATATTATGCAATAACTAAAGATATTAAAAATATTAAGAAATTCTATTACACTTAGTATACGGTAGTTTGTGTTGAAACATAAAATTACACATATTTCATATAAGTTTAAAAATAATTATTTTCAAATTGAAAGTTGGTGTGGAAACTTTATCCACATCAACGATTTATAAACAGAATCGTCTCTAACAAGAAAATAATAGGCACTGAAAACTGGAATCCAGTTAGCTCCGGACTTCAGGTAGGAACGGAAGAAAACTAATTCGCATTAATTCTATCCCTACTTCGGCCGTTCTTGTGATCTTATTAACTACACAATTAAGAGGAAAAAAGGGGTGGAAAATTCTTTGTAAGGGATTTTTGAAAAGGAAAAATGAATAACCCAATTTTACCAATTCTTTACTTTTTCTTTAACAGTTTTAGAGCTCAAGTACTTGAGGTTGCGATGTTTTTTTGGGTCATTGTTTGACGGTTGATTAAGGCTCTTTTCTCACGATGTTTCATTGCAATATCATGTTTCATTTTATAATAACTATCGTGAGACATACTAAATTAACTAAAAATCGCGGGTTACTCACGTGTAAATATTGAGAAAAGCTCTACTAGTTTCGAACCACAGAGGGGTTCGAAACTAGCAACAACTACAGCGTTGTGTTTCACCGTGTTAGTGACGTTACCGGAGGTCTAATCCTTTCCCTACTGTCATCTCTCTTCAATCCTCAAATCTCCGAAACCCAAGTTACTAAGAAGCCATACAACGTACTCGTAACTCTTCTGTTGTTGCGGTGTTCATAGGTGCCAATTCTTTACCATATTTTTTTAATTTTTTTGTTAAGATATTAGTTGTCTGTGTTTTGTATGTATACTCTAAATGTTAAATTTACGATCCTTCTCTCTGGTTAAGGTGGCGTCACTACTCTGTGGGCATCAATAAAAGACTGTTGTAATACAAAAGTTTTATAAAATATAGTATTAAATTAAAACTTTATTTAACAAAAAAATAACATTTTGGATACTCTTTATAGCCCTGTGGTACTGGATCGAAATGATTTGACATTAAATTCAACAAATAAATAGTAGAAATATTCTCTCACTTGCATTTACAGTTCATAATCAAATGATTTCCTTTACATTCGTAAAAAATGAAAAACAAGTTAATGTTGTATGTCTACTTTTTTTTCTTTTTTTTTACAAGTATATTTTAAATTTATGTAGGTAAATGGGTAAAAAAATACTAAACTATTGGTAGAAAGAATTGATTATTCTTTTTACATCTGCTCGGATGGACAACGTGTAAAACTGAAAAAAAAAAGATAAACATCGATTGTTCAATTTGATACATCAATTAACTAGTCGGAATGTCATAATTTAGGCATTTTATTTTGGTCGCATAATAGAGGCGTTTTAAATATATTTCTGTTTGTATAAATAGACCTTTTTATTTACATTTTGGTACAAGCAATCATTGTACCCAGTTAGCTAAGGTTCTAGGATCGTAGCGTGCCCGCAATACAAAGCTTTTGTTTATATTAATGAGAACAGACACAGGTCATTGCCCTTATGACAGTTCATGGTTATCATGTTATGAAATACATCCCCTTGTATGTGCCAACTGTTGCAGATAGCCTCTTCAATTATTAAAGGGGTAATAGATATGTATGTTTAAACTTTAAGCGTAAGTACTATTTCCAAACGATTTATTATAAATCTGTGTCTTTATGTCATATGTGCGGAAACGTGCAGACAGATTACCTGATGACACCTGCAATGGAGGAGTTACGAGTGCGTTGTCGACTTTTTAGGGATTAGGGATTTGGAGATTTAGAAATTGAGAAGGGATTGGGGGAGGGGAAGGATCGGGCTTCCGGTAACCTCACTGACACGGCGAAACACAACGCTGTGGTGGTTTCGGTCGGTTTTCTGTGAGCTCGTGGTATGACTCCGGTCGAGCCGACCCAATCGAAGCATGGCTCTCCCACACTTAATGTGTTATATAATTATGGGTGAATGTATGATCTGGTAAAGAGTGGTTTTAAGCCAGTAAGAGTAGTCAGAGTCTGACACTCTCTCACTCTACTTTGGGTGAGAGAAGCCATTTGATGATCTTACATTCCTCAAATAAAGACGGCTTCAACATCTTTTGCTTTTTATGAATTTCGTGTGTGATTGTGTGTTTGATGTCATGTTTTTTAGTTCCAAACAGCATACTAATGAAATTCACAATCAATATATTTTTTTTGACAAATTCAAGTACACGTTGCCAATTTAGCTGTTCCAATCAGCCATAGGATAGTAGAAGTAAGAGTTGGTACCTGTTCTAAATATCATCATCATCATCATCCTCGGACCATAAGCGCCCACTGCTAAGCAAAGGCCTCTTCTCACACGTGAAGGTTTAAGCATTAATCACCACGCTTACTCGAGGCAGATTGACGATTTCAAACTTATAAATATAAGTCCAGTTTTCCTCATGATGCTTTCCTTCACTTCTTTAGTCAGTGGTGTCTAAGAAAACTTAAAAAATACATACAACTTCTCTGGGCCATCAAGACTACGTTCTAAATATACAACTAATGAACTATTTATGTAACATACATCTAAGATTGCGTAAGGCCCTCTACACACGTATTATATCGTGACCCTAACACCGGGATTACACTGCGTAATCTTACACAGATGTCGCCTCAGAATGTACACAGCTTAACGCATTAACCCCAGAAAGCAGTGTGTAATATTACTTAATGATAATCTATTCAGTTTTAGTATTAGACGTTTGGTGAAGGTTGTTTTAAAGGGTTATCTAAAATAAACTGTTTATTTCATATTATGGAAAATGTTTAGTAATTTTATAGATAAGTTGTCATTGTCGATAAAGTTGTGCTGAGTTTGAAGTGGGGGTCACGTGCTTTATTCAGGAATTGGAAATTTCGGATTAACAGTACATGATGTATGAATTGAAAAATTGTAATCTTTGGATTTTACTAAATATCTACCTTATAAGTAATAGTGTATATAGGTATAACACAAAGCCAAACAAACTATAGACTGACTATCTGTCAATTAAAAAAAAAGGGGACAAGTTTGACGAGTTGTCAAGTGCCCAAATAGTGTTCTGTGTGGCTTATATATGACTTATTTATTTATTTATCTACTTTCTTAATAAGAACGGCCGCAGGTCAATTCTATTAAAAAGAACACGACAATTCCCAATAACACAGACTTAGTAGTACAGTACTGTACTTCAAGCACACAGACAAGATTTTCTTTTACGTAATACTATTATGCAATCACACTACTCTATCAGCCCATAAAGGCTCTCTTCTCACAGAAAGAAGAATTGAGCATTAATTACTAAGCTTGCTCAATGCGGATTGGCATTTACATACTTATAATAAGAAATTATACTCCTTCACAGTTTGTCAGTTGTGTCGAAATAATCATAGAAAGTATCACATTCGTACTTGTTGGGATTCGAACCCACACCCTCCTGCATGAGAAGCTAGCGCCTTAACCTCCGGGCAACCACGACATTCATTATGCAACATCCAATAAAAATATAGGTAAAAATAAAACGTTGTCAGTCAAAACTCCTAAAGACAGCAAATGCCTACCTCTTAAAATTCATCGCAAACTTAATTCAGAACTCGTTTCTTAAAATGTTCACCTTTTCGAATGTTCTTTTGGGTAGGTTCTTAAAGTTTGGCTGACTCGTCTGTTCAAAGGTTCTTCGCCTCTTCAAAGTGTGAGTTTTGTAACACAATGAATTTTTAAGTGGCTCACAATGAGAACCTCTTGCGAGAGAATTCAGGCATTAATAGTACCTATTTTGTAAACTTCCATATTTCTGTTGCTACTCTGTTTCCTTGATGAAGTTTAGAATAATTCCTTTGTCAATAAGAGTTGAGTAACGTGTTGTTTTAACACTTATTATTAGTGTAGTATTTATGTGCCTATTCAGTATTCAGTAGTTCGGGTAAAGTACTAAAGTGTTATTGTTACTTCTGTTTTGGACGATTCTGAGCAGTAACACGGAGTCTGCAATTGCATAATTATCATAAAAAAATTTAATCGAGAGGGGAACATAATCCAAGGTCTTCAAATAGCCTAAGTCTTCTTAGCCTTAATATAAGCCCTGGCTAAGTGAGGGAGGGTTAGACTGTTACTGACTGATAATATCCCCGTTTTATCTTCTGTTCCGTGCCTAGCTGAATATCGGTCTTAGGGAAAATCTTCTCTTTTACGATCTTAGGGAATTTTACTCTTAGTTTTCTAAATTAAATAGACGTGAATACTTACAAACATTCTCCTTACAAATAGCACGTCTAGCGTGGCACATGTTCACAAAGAATTGGAACCCTTTCTTGTATCTGCTGAACATCATGCAAACTGGCTCAAGGTCCAGCTCGGGAAGATCCTGGCATACGTTGTTACATGGGTGATTGCTTGATATATTTTCGGACAGTAATTTCGATGGCTTTGGCGCAGCTGTTGCTAAAACTGTTTAAGGTTTAAAAATGTAATATACATATTTCATAGTATGCACAGTTCATGGCAAAGTTAGTATATTTTTGTTAACTCAAAATTCTTTTTTATTTTAAATATTATTCATTAGAATCCTAAAAAAAACTTCTCCTTTTTTGCACTTTTTAATATAATATATATCATCATCATCATCATCATCATCATCATAAGCCGAAAGAGGTCTGCTAGATCAAGGCCTCCCCGTTATAGATGATTCAATGAATGATGAACCTCTCTTACCTTGTATTTCGTTGTCAATCCTCAAATCCTAAATACCTAAACTGGCTGGCAACGCACTTGTAGAACCTCCTTTGTTATTTACCTTTTACGAGTTCTCATACTTCTCATGCACGACGCCGATTGCTTACCATAAAAAAAAATGTTCGACGTACTAACAATTACTTAGACCAATTATTGATCTATTAAATTTTGTAATGGAAACTTACCAATTACAAACATCAGAATTAGGATAGTTGGCAAAAACATGCCAACAACAGAACACCAGTTTCCAATTCGAAACACAATTTTGTTTTATAGCTTTTTTATTATTTACGAGAACAATTCTCTGTTTTACTTTATTGGACTTATCGAGTCTTTCAATTGTTACATTTTTAAAACTATTTACAATCAAACTTGCTACTTTTAATTCGAATTCAGAACAAGCGAAGACTATTTTAAATTTAGAAGTTGTTAACATTGTGTTCTTATTTTAAAGGTTTTTTTTTTGTTATAAAAGTAGAGTAAAGAGTTCTTGTAAAGTTTCTAGAAGAAATAAAAATGGTTGGGTTTTTTGTTATAAATTTAAGATTTTCCATCATCAGTGCTGAACTGTAGAAGTACTAGTTCATACGTGACTATGGTTCCGGCAATCTGTAACAATAAAAAACAGACTTAATACCATATCAAACAGAGTTCCTTTGTTCGAGGGAACAAGCTCTTGGAAGTCTCTTCAGCAATGGACTTGTATTAAGGACTGGAATTTGAAAAAAAAATTGCCCTTCCCTAGCATTTTCTCCCGTGTCGTTTACAACTTACAAATTCACAAACAATCCGCCCAGATATAGTAAGATATTTTTTACGGAGCCCATTGACACACAGCGCTTTGTCTTAATGGTAGGTATAGATTGTTACTTTTTATTACGATATCCTTTTAAATATGTTTTTCTTCCCTTTAAATATCTTCTGATTTATTTCGTTGCGGAATTCAAGACAGTCATTTATGTTTCTGGAACGCGCTGGACTTTAGTGTTTCGGTGTTTTCATGGTTGCATCATTTGTAGATCCAGACTTATAGGAGTTGCAGCGGTTTTGGGCAGAAATGGGGGTCTCATTAAAAACAAATCCCCAATTACTTCTAAAACATATACATGATACATACACTACAACAGCTAGAGATGAAATCGTTAACCGTACAACGATACGAATTCTCGTATTGTCAGTATTCATTGTAGCTACAGCAAGCAAAATGACGGCAGCCATCCAAGCTTGCCGAACGTTTCCATTCAGTTGCCTTGATCGATTCGCAAATTCATACAGTGATTTGCAGATGTTCGATGTACTTACAAGATATATTAGGTAAATTCTGTTAGGATTGATATTTTGAAATCGGTACTTTTAATGTTATTTTTTTTACAGAAGACATTGACTAGCACTTGATCTATCTCCTGTGTCGTAGGTGCGTTTACAAACATTCAAATCTTTATATATAAATTTCGTTTCGCACGCGATGGACTCTTAAATTACAAAACCGATTTTAAATTTGATGCATTTTTTTGGAACTTGAAATATTAGGATAGCTTACATCTTAATTTAGTCACAATATTATTTACCTTAGCCACAGCAACACGTAGCTGGGTCTGCTAGTTCACATACAAAAACAACCCAGACCCGAAACAACAATTATTTTGTGGATCACACAAATAGTTGTGGTTGGAGTTGGATTGTGCTAAAAAAAGTAGGTGGAAATCGGTTTCGTTTTGTTTTATCTGAACCATTTGCAATTATTAGTCAAAGGGTGTCTTCAAGGCATGAATGAATAGGAAGCTAATGGATAGGCGTGCTCCATTGTAAATCACATCATCGCCTACCGCAAGGCGAGATAGGGACCAAACCGGACCCTTGCAACGAGTCTATGCTAACATTGTATAAAGCTGAAGAGTTTTTTGTTTGTTTGAACGCGATAATCTCCGAAACAACTGGTTAAAATTGAAAAATTATTTTTGTTTTGGATAGACCTTTTATCAAGGAAGGCTATATTTTATTTTATTTTATTATTCTTGCAGAAGGCTTACAGACTTATAGTACTTAAATATTTTAACTTAAACTAGATTATTCTATTGACAAGCCCTCACATATAATTATTACAACTATCGATATTAAGATTTTTTTATATAAGAAGAGGAATAAATACTAGATCAATTTCAATATTATTTTGAGAGCCGCTATTGAGAATCAATGAATGATTTAGTTAAAAGTCGTCTAACTGCACCCATATGCTATAAAACATTACGCTAAGACTGATAGGAGCCTACCAGAGGATGGAACCGCGTTTGAGCAGCTAGTAAAAATTTTAAACTTAAAAGCCATGCCTTAAAATGTCTCAGTTAGTTTCTTAATATGAAACGAAGCAGAAATAACAGACTAAACAATAGTCTTGTACCGTTTATAGCCAGTTCACTGGGCTGGCAAAGGGCAGTCCGAAACTGGTGTTACTGGGGAAGTTTATCAAAAGACATTATGACCTTGACAATAAGATGTATGTTTTGTACAGTGACTCTGGCTATATTTTAAATAGGACTTTTATCTTAAGTTAATTCAGAACATATTTCATAATGTCTAAGCACATAATGTAACATAAGATTGGCTATTTCAGTCGGGGTTGGGGGGTAAGCAAAGTAATGCACTGAACGAACGGGGCGGTTTCAGTACAATAGTCGGAAATTCCTTCTCGCCTCACCTAAAGCCGAAGAAAAGTGATTTGATGATTTAAAACCATAAAAAAAACATAGAGTACTAAACGAAGGTGGACGTTAAGCTCCCTAATAAACTAATGTGCGATTACCTATGTGGTTAATTAATTGCGTTCTTTATTCAAATTTATATGATGCATATTGACGTTCTAGACATAGTAAGACATTAAATTATAAATTAATAGATAACTGGATACTTGGTTTTGTGAATAGTAATAATAATATTTTTCTTCTTTTGCATTTTATTGTACATTTTGCATTTTTAAATTTAATTGTAGTTGGTAACAAGACGAAATGCAATAATATTTGAAATCTTAAGGGAAAAAATATCATTAATATTTTTTTTCTACATTATTAAATTATTTTTTACGCATTCAATTTGATATCCTATTAAAATATTACGACTTATTCTTAATTTCATAATATTGTTATTCAATTTTTTTTATCTAAAGAGTTTATTATCGTATAAAACTCTTTTATTGTAAGCGTGGCCGTCAAATTTATTTGCATTATAATTAATTTACATTATGGAATGCTGACGTTTGAAATTAGAATTGCTTTTTCTTATTGAAAATTCGCGGGATATTTTTAATCTTGGAAAATGATGAATGATGCAGTTTTTTTATTATTTTATGATATTAGAACTAATATTTTTAAATTGACATAACAACTATTTGTTGTAAGATAAAAATTATTAATTAAAAAGTTTGGTTGACCATATAGATATTAATAAGCAGATTAATTTATATGAAGGCACCGGAGGGTTGGTACAAACATCAACATCCCGATCATCGTCTTCACAGTCCATCGCAGGGCGTAGGATTTTATAATCAGACCGAATAAATTACAAAAATAACGGACGTCGGCGATCCGTCGCTCTCCACCATAATACGCACGCAGAACTGTCAGTTTGACGTTCCGCCAGAGTACGATTCATGGTACCCTTGTCCGATGAATTGTGATAAAACCTCCTTCAAAATTCAATTTAAATAATCCAGACTCCGTCATATATATCTGAGCTGTTATATAAATTGGTGAATATTGTGTGACTCCGATGGTGTTGCTAGTGTCAATGGGCGAAGCTGATCACCTACTATCAAGTAATCTCTAAACGTATTTATTATGTTTTTTTTTATGTGATAGGAGGGCAAACCGATGGATTATCTAATGAATAAACAATCAGCGCTGCCCATGGAAACCCGCAGTATCGGAGGAGTTATGAGAGTGTAGACTTTTGGGGATTAGGGTTCTTTGGATTTAGGGATTAGGGAGGGATTGGCAGAGGGGAAGAATTGGGCCACATTGTTATTCACACAGCTAAACACAAACTTATGGTGACACATAGTTTTGACGAATTACGTCCCATAATCAAATTTACTTAGTAAATAGCGGTTATATAGACATCTGACTTATAAAAAAAGATATTTTTAGACACAGTATAATAATTTTATTAATAGTAACAGGTGGCTTCATAATTTGTATAAATTATTGGTAAATGTCAACTAATTTAAAAATTATGATCGAAGAGAAAGTGTCCGTAGGTATTTAACAAGACAAGAAAATGAAATTAATTTGAAATTTATTAAATTTTGTGACTAAGGAAATATGAAAATTAATCTTTGTACTTATACTTCCTACTTCCTTATTCTACTAATATTATAAAAGTGGAAATTTGTGAGAATGTATGGATGCATGTTTGTGATTCTTTCACGCAAAAACGGCTGGACAGATTTAGTTGGAATTTGGTACGTAGATAAGTGATGCCTTGGAATAAAAAGCTGTCTGCGTGCTAACGGCGAAGCCTCAGCAGGTTGCTAGTACACAATAAGACAGAAAATAAGTATATCTGTATATTAAATATTATTCTATAAAATAAAATTAGAGTAAATAATTGGCGTGAAGATTTAAATTAATAATGTTTATCTGTTTGCACCGAAGATTATTCGGAGGTAATGGATTTGAATGAAACAATTTTGTTTAACAGCTAAGCAAAAATATATAAGCTTGGGGAACTTACATTTCATTTATTAATATTTATAATATTTTGACTGCTCGGTTGGTGCGGTGGCTGGGCAAGAAGTGGCTGCCGTGCAACGTGTCGCGGGTTCGATTCCCGCACGGAGCAACTCTTTGTATGATCTATTTTTCGGTGTCTGGGTGTCATGTGTATGAGAAATTATATGTTTGTAACCGCACCTACAACACAGGAGAAAATCCTAGTAAGGGCCAACGTTTTATAAAAAAAAACGATTCCTTTTTTTTGTTTTTGTTTTTTTAATATACTTATATTCTACGCTGAAGAAGTTTCGCGGAAAAGCTAGTATAAAATAAAATAGTGATAAAGAATTCATTGATATTTAATTTTTTCTTAAATTTTTAGCTTTTTAATGGTTGACCTTTTCCTTTTCCCTATTTAAATGACGGTACAGCTGTTTTAAAAGCCACACTAGTAACGTTTTTTAGTACCTCGCTAATATTTTTTCCAGCCAGCTACTAGTTATAGCCACTAATTTGGAATATGTCGAATATGTATGTAAAGTGTGGGAGAGCCATGCTTCGGCACGAATGGGTCGGCTCGACCGGAGTGATACCACAGCCTCACAGAAAACCGGCGTGAAATAACCACAGCGTTGTGTTTCGCCGTGTGAGTGAGGTTACCGGAGGCCCAATACTTCCCCTCCCCTAATCCCTCCTAAATCCCTAAATCTCCAAATCCCTAATCCCTAAAAGGTCGGCAACGCACTCGTAACTCCTCCGTTGCGAGTGTCCATGGGCGGCGCTGATTGCTTACCATCAGGTAATCCGTATGCTCGTTTGCCGACCTATTGAATAAAAAAAAATCATATTTTTTTCATTCTGCATAAATGCAAGTAAAAGTAATGTTTCTCATAATGTTCCTTGCTAGTATGTATAAACAATAACTATAACGCTAAATGTCACTCGAATAGATATTTTTAATGGTAAATAGTAGAGACTAATATTATAAAGAGGTAAAATTTGTAAGTTTGTATGTAGGGGCAATCAATGGAACCGCTGATCGGATTGCCAAAATTCTTTCACTGATAGGTAGCTACAATGTTCTTGAGTGCTATAGGCTATAAAACATCACGCTACAATCAAATGGAGTCGAGCAGCGGGTGAAACCGCGCGAGAGTAGCTAGTAGTAGAGATATTTATAACGATTTTAAAAAAAGCTTTGCAAAACCATAGATAGTTGGCACCAAAAGATCTTACTTAAGTTCTTTTCATATTAATATTCTTTTGTTTTCATAAATTGAAGCTGTTTCATTGTCAAATGCTAAAAAGTATTTATAAATGAAAAAAGTGTACAGTTATAATTGGACCTCAGGTTTATACAATGTGTACTCTTAACATGATAACATTATATAATGCTTAACCTGTTGTCTGTTTCTGTAACTATTAAAAAAAAAAAGATAAAATACAAAGTAAGATCGTTGACACGCGTCAAGGCAGTCTTTGCTATCACGTTCATCGTGAGAGTTATAGTTTTGTTGGACACTTTTTTACACCGTAAAACTTATAATGTACCTTTTTGATTCATAAATAAATAAATACTTAACAGATGAAAAAGAAGATTAATATACACTTCAAAAGATCAACTTATTACTATTTTAGTTTCACATTTATTGACTGACTGATTAGAATGCTTTATGGTCAATAGGTTTAAAACTCGCCCAATCAAGGTTGATAGCTGTTTTTTCGCCATGACGGATGTTTTTGCGGTGGCGACATACACTACCCTATTCGGTATTATAAGCACATAGTTTATCCGTTATTAGAATTCAAATAAATTACTTTATTAATCCAAACCTTTATTGAATTATTCACTATTTGAATGGTCAACTGTACCTAAGTAAAATTTTTCATTACCTATCACCGCATTGTAGCATATATTTATATCTAAATACCACGTATAAAAAATTCACGCGCTAACAAACTGTCAATAAAAAACATTCAAAGTCTTTAAAATAAAAATAAAAATCATAAACAACAAGAAAGCAAACGATAAATATTTAAAAAAGGAATTCAAATATAAAAACAAATAGACGATAAATAACAAAATAATTTTGACAAACAAATAAAGTAAAACGAAATATTAAAAATAGAATTGAAAAACAAAAACGAAATAAAAAATAAATTAAATAGACCATAAAACAAAATAATTGTTAAAAAACAAAATAAAAGCAATACCTACGAAATTGACGACAGACATATTCTTTTAAGAAAAATGAAACCTTGCATTGGTGTTATTTAAAAATGTTTTAGATAAATACTTACGGTAAGCACAAGATCCCTGGTGATGTAAAAGAAATGTAGACCGCTGAACGCTACCACAACGCCATCATTGACTTGGTTTTGAAACCTTTCAACCTGTCAAAGTAAAAGGAATTTTAAAACAAGCAGCGCTAAATTTAGTTTGCGTTTTCAGACTTTAGTGAACAAATCTCACGTTTCGAATTGGATCGTAAAATACGAACAGAATACACACATGTAGTATACATTAAGCTTCTCTGTTTTTTTTTATTTTTTATACATTTAAACTAACTTTCTGAATATATATCAACACTACACAGATAAGTAAATGTAAATTTCGTGACCAACACACCATGTACAGATAGGCTACTCGAATCCTTGTAATTCGTTTGAGCGACCACTAAACATAACTCAATATAATAAAATAAAACACAAAAAGGTCACCCAATATTAAATTTACAGATAAATAAACAAAATGTTGAAAATTCAAATATAAATTTACAATTCGAAATCGGCGCGAAACTACCATAGAGTATTTTCTCTCTAGCAACAAACCTCTTTGCAATATGAAGTTGCGGGCACAGCGAACAGGATGGGCCCCGGTACCATAGATGCTGAATGGATGCGTGCCGCTACCAGTGCCACAGACAGGAATCGAACGAACAGATACACTGACGAATACGCTAGGTAAGCTGGATATATGTAGTATCGAGAGTAACTGGAAAATGAAAATGTTAGCTTGGTTTTTAGTACCAACAAAACGTAATATTTTGGGTTGGTGAAAATTGGGAATAATTACAAAGGGCAATCTGCCCAGTTATCTGTGCGTGGTAACTAAAGACATTTCACTGAATTATATAGTTTTAATGAACGAAGTTATATTTATCTTTTGTTCAATATCATCAGGATCAGGATCTAAATCATTTGTTATTTTCTATTTAACATTTTTATTGTTATACCCACACATCAAATAACTGTGCAAAATGTTTTTTTTTGTATTTAAGTTTCCCATTAACGTTTGTTTTTTGTGGAGTATACTGCCCGGTTAATTATAAGAATTAAGAAGATTTTACAAATAATATGAAAAGAACGAAAGAATGGAAGAAAATAGGTACTTTTTCAGTCAACGAAGTGTTTGCTCGTCAGCCAACTTTGCAGCCATGTTATCAAAGCAGGTTTGACTTTATAAATGTTTTTTGGGGGTTAGTGTTATCGAAAGGCTTTTCCAGCCTTGAGTGAGACGGTTAACCGTAATAATGGCTCTCGGCCTGAAGCAGAAGAAGAAACGGAGTGGTTCTTGGTAAGAGTTTGAAATTCCCTCTAGTTCCATGAAGAAGTTATTTGATGATTTTCTCACCCTCAAAAAGGCCTCGTGTGAGATGAAAGAAAGTGTCAGACTCTTACTGAATAAAACCACCCTGTTCTTTCTCTTGCTCCAGGCTGAGGCAGCTATATATCATGGCTTTTGGTCTTTAACCCCTATTATTACTAGCTTTTCTGCATAATTAAATCATTCATACAAAAATAAATAGTACGTTTATAAGGTGCAATACACAATTATTTTAGTAGTATATTTTTAAAGTTATTATTCGTATTGATTGGATGTATGGACCTCAACTAGTTATTTAAAGTTATTTATTAAAATATATTAATATATTAATTTTATTTACTTAGGTGAGGATCAGTTGGTAGCTCGAGATGGTTACTCGAAGTTATAATTTCACTCACCTATTTTCATATCCGGGACACAATTTAGTAAGGACTTGTGTAGTTTTTACACTATTCCTACAACAAAATCAAGTACATACACAAAATTTCATAGTTCATATTATTGATTTAGACGCATAAAGTTTAATTGGACTTAAAATTAAAATGTGAAATCATCAATTCCTCCTTTTTTGTGGGGGGGAAATCTTCAAATTCTCTTTGCCAAGGTATGGCGTGGTCCCTCTCCTGTCAGACTCTTACTGACTAAAAACCCCCATCGTTCCTTCTACTGCTCAAACCTGAGGCCACGGTAACTTACTGCGCTTAACCCGCGACCCCGGCTAATTCCCTTGGTTTATATTTATCTACTCTTTGTAGTGAGATCTTTTACATTTGGCACACATACACACTTCAATATTACTTACATTATCAGCCTATATGTGCCCACTGCTGAGCAGAGGCCTCTTCTAACACGGAGAAGGTTTCAGCATTAGATAATCAAGTGATCCAAGATAGACAAGGTGGATTGGCGGCTTCAAACTTATATTTAGAAGTCTAAGTCCAGGTTTCCACACGACGTTTTTCTTCACCATATATCAGTGGTGTGTAAATTATCATAGAAAGTACATATAACTCGGAAAAAGTCACATTGGTACATGCCAGGTTTCGAAACCTCAGCCTCATGCATGAGAGACAGGCCTTAACTAGGCCTTAACTAGGCTACCATGATCTAATGATACGACATACAATGGTACTTACGAAAGTATATTATAAAGCTGCATGCATATGAAGAAGAGGTCATTAGCGAATGTAATCAATACGATCCCGCTGAGTACGTCATCGAACCGTTTTACTAAATTCGTAGCGCGAGTGTAGTCCTCCCTTAACTCACCCCATTTTGAGGCCGGAACATAGTTCTAAAAGAAAATATTAACACTATTAAAATACAAAATTGTTTTTATAATAACTATCGTGAGACATACTAAATTAACTAAAAATCGCGAGTTTTAAGTCGCGGGAATTAAGTCTTTTTAAAATTATTATTGATAGCCTGGAGTGAGGAATTCTGGCGGTATTTTATCTGTAGGCTTTCAATTTATTTTATTGACTAGTACGGGAGTTTTAGCAGCCATAATAATTATGAAAAATGTATTTCAAATGCACTACGTTTTGAAAACCTTCATTTTAAATTTTATCCATATAGTTTTAGTGACATATTTTTAGGCATCAGTATTAAGATTAATTAGTAAAAATCGATTACACAACCGATTTTTGAGGTAAAATGTCGATTTCAACTTACCTAACCAATCACAGGGCTAAACGTGGTAGCATTACGATCGCGTTAATGAAAAAAACTTTTTGGCACAAGTAAAAAAGCATACCTTACTAGCCGTAGCCGCTATTTTCTTGTTAATCTGCTGCAATATTGAAGTCAAAAACAAACTCATGTTTACAATGAAGATGTCTGCGTAATTCCATGTAGCTGTTGATACTATGTTCAAGAACTAAAAATTAAACCATAACATTTACCATGTAAAGTTCAAAATCATTAAGCAGATTAGTTCGATTACATGCATTAACTTTTTTTATTTTATTGTAAAATAGTAGGCTCACGTTAATAATGAGCAGTTTATAATGAAAGGAATAATAAATACTTATGTTATTCATATTAAGAATTACACACCAAGAATTAAATTACATACAAACATTAGGCTTTTAACTCCTTGAGGGGTAGTCACGTTTTCTGAGACCAGTGTAATTCTTAAAATGAATTTAAAATTATTAAAAACCATTTAAAACGGGCGACTCGTATATCGAAAAGCCATAAGTTTTTTTAAGTAACTTTTGATATGGGGGCAAGTCTCGAGCAAAACGAGCAAGGCCGTACCCGTACCTTTACTCGAAGTTTTCTCTTTTTTGTGAAGGGAAAAACATCAAATGATTTCTCCTAGGGAGTGTTAGACTCTTACTGACTAAAACACCCCCGTTCCTTCTCCTGCTCTGGGCCGAGGTCGCAGTGCTTCATTGCCCTTACCCCGCAACCCCTGCTGAACATCAGCCCTATAGGGCCCCGTCTGTAGTGGTCTATTGGCTCTTTGAGGCGCTGGAAGGATAGTTCCCTCACGCGCTCCGCCTCCTCCTTTGCGAAGTATCACTGCTTCACAGAAGGAGGAGACGACATGTATCCCCCCCTGCATTATCGATACAGACAAAGCTTTCTGGATTTAGGTTACAATTTACCTGCACAATAACTCCAAGAGCTACAACATAAGGTACGTTTAGTTCATACAACCACGGTGACGTCACTTTGATGAACATCTCACCAACATGTACCTGGTCGTTGCACTCCAGTATTCTAGCGATACGTGATACTATCGACAACACATGTTCCACTGAAAAAAAAACATTGTAAAGTAAATATTTGTAATTTGATGGATTTAATCGTTAATATATATATATTAAACTATCCTAATTCCTAACCTACCTACCGCCTATTGGGACTGTTCAACTCGAGACTGTCTAAAGTTGCTGTCCCTGAGGTTTCTTGTCGGTTTGTTGTCGGATCCTTTGGTTAAACACTAGTGTTACACTGTTCTCACATAATGGAACTATCTAAATCATGTAACAATGCATTGTAAAAAGTGATTGAAAAAGAGTAACCATGGAGTTTCTTGCTCGTTCTTCTCCATAGGAATCTACACTTTGGAACGAGCAAATAACTTCACTAGAGGACAGACGGGCAGACTGACACATATAAAGTTAAACCTTATGATATCTCTTTTTGTTTGACGTTCAAAAGTGCCTTTTGTAGTCTACTTGAAATAAAGAATTTGATTTAACATTATCTTATTCATACATATATGTACATACATCATCAGCCTGTAAGTACCCACTGCTGAGCAAAGGCCTCTTCTTACATGGAGAACATTTGAGCATTAACCACCACGCTCGTTCATTTTATAATTCGAAAATAGATTTATAATTAAAGTCCAGGTTTTCTCAAGATTTTTTCCTTCACCGTATGTCAGAGGTGTCTACATCAGAAAGTACATATGACTTGGAAAAAGTAGCCTTAAAATGCGGGCCACCACAACATTTATATATCCTCTCTCGAGTTTCAAGCTATGTCTGTTCCAAAATTCACAGAAATCGGTTCAGTAGTTTAGTTTTTCAGTAGTTTGGGATTTTGGGGATTCAGGGATTGGGAAGGGATTGGGGTAGGGGAAGGATTGGGCCTCCGGTAACCTCACTCACGCGGCGAAACCACAACGTTGTGGTTGTTTCACGCCGGTTTTCTGTGATGCCATGGTATAACTCCGGTCGAGCCGACCCATTCGTGCCGAAGCATGGCTCTCCCACACTTAGATTACAACGAAGCGACTATTCATGAATCCTAATAGCAGAGTTTCATGGCATTAATAAATCACAATCAACCTTGACCAATCGTGGTTATTAATGCTAAACCTTTTTCGCCGCTTGACAAGATACCTTTGCTCAGCAATGGACACTATATAAGTGGGCTGTTGATGATGATGATGATATTGACAATACTTCTCAATAACTTGTAGTAAATATTCTTGTAATATAAAAATAGGTAATACTCACTTATGGCCATAACCATGAAACCGCAGCAGGCTATGTTACATCTCCGTATAACATTGGGGTCGATGTACTCATCTAGTTTAGAGTTTATAAGCTCCTTCATAAGAGCCGGCCATTTTGGAGCGATCCATATGAATGAATACGTAGTAAAAGACGCCGTTGTAAAAAATATTAGGAAAGCTGAAAGAAAATGTTTTAATATTTAATTGAGTAGCTTCGTGGACATTAAAATATGTCGGATTTGTGCATTGTTATAAAAAATGTTCGAAAAATCTAATAACTCGTAACATACATATAATCACCAGCCTTTAAGTGCCCACAGCTTGGGAAAGGCTTCTTTTTACACGGAGAAGGCTTAAACATTAATCACCATGGTTGCTAAAGGCAGATAAGCGATTCAATTCTTTTAATTAAGTTTCTTCAAGATATTTTACTTTACTTTTTTTTTACATAATATGTTAAATAGTGTCCAAATAATCTCCGAAAAATACACGTAAGTCGACAAAAGTGTCTTTGGTAACTTATAATGAAATTAGTTTTTTTTTAATTTGCATATTGGACATACCTAAAGCTGGAAGAGACGAAGGCATCTTGAAAAGCCTGTAGAAACATAAACAAGTCCCGATGGACTGAAAAATTGCCATAATTACAGAGTAAACAAACTTCCAAGAGCACCTTGTGAACCTGAGAACAGGGGTCAAAATTGATTACAACGATGAAGTTATAAAATTTTAAATAAATAAAAATTCAAATTTAAAAAAATGCCTTTTATATTGCATTAATGAAAATAATTAAAATGAGAGACTTAAAAATAGACCTAATATGAATAGTTTTTGAGCACAAATTAAATGAACTGATTAATATTCATGAAAACTTTTATAATACCACTCTCAATGGTATTTCATGAATATATTGTAAAAGAAAACGTATAATTTTTATCATATTTTCATTCTAGTCGGATTATATATTATTCTAAATTAATTAGTTTTTTTTTCATAATTCTCACGCATCAACTCACACACTCTCAGAACCGAAATTCAGCCAATATTACTAACCGTGTCATAGCAGGAGTGGCTTGACTTGGAACAGTTTAATATTGTGAGTAAGGACAAAATATTGCATCCATACGTTCAAACGACTACAAAAACCATTTTATAATGACCTTTAACTGTGTGTTAAAATCATACAAGTCGAGTTCACAATAAACTGGGTTTTCAAAACTTTAGTATTACCTCATTTTAGACAAGTCTTTTTGCAGAATTCCAGTGACAGGATTCACTCCGATGCATGTACCACCAATGAATAATACTTTCATTGCCTTTTGAAATGTAAGAAATAGATTTTTAAGTTTAGCCTTACGACGCTCGTCTGAAGTAGCTGAAAATAAAAATGAATATGATAATTTATAATGGCCGTTTTTAATTATAACGCATAATTATTAATAAGTGTAGGAGATTCATGCTTCGGTATGGTTGGATCAACTGGAGTGTATACCATGGCCTCACAGATAACCGGTGTAAAACAACCACAGCGTCGTGTTTCGCCGTGTGAGTGAGGAGACCTTATCCTCCACACCCCCCCGAAACCCTAATTTTCAAAAAGACGTCGACGCACGTAATTCCTCTTTTGTTCAAGGAGTCCATAGACAACACAGATTGCTTACCATCAGGCAATCCATACGCCCATTTCCCGTCCGTTAACATAAAAAGAATGTCGAGATTGCGAAGCTTTGTTTTATTATGGTTTCTTTAGCTAAATGAATACATAGTCACATTCTAGCATTCTTAGCTTTTGATGGTCTGCATAATAATATGCTTAATCTTGCCTTGATTTTTATTTCATTGAAAATTTACACAAAGAATAACTAACCATCCTCCGAAATCCAGTGTTTTGCGCTGCCCCTTTTAGTATCACTGGAAAACATAAATAAAGATTACGCAAAACATTTTTGTCTTCAGCCTTTCAGAGTCTACTGCTGAGCAAAAGCCTCTTCTCACACGAAGAAGGTTTGAGTTTTAATCACCACGCTAGCTTAAGACAATTTGGCAATTATAATAAGAAATGACAAAAGTCTAGGATTCCTCACGATGTTTGCGGGTTAAGCGCTATAAGGCATTGCGGCCTCGGCCTGGATCAGGAAAAGAACGGGAGAGTTTTTAAACAGTAAAAGTCTAAGAGTCTGACATTCCCTCTCGCCATACACCCTGGGTGAGATATTATATAATTTGATGATTCTCCCTTCACAAAAACGGGTTACACACGATGTGCTCTTTACTGCAAAGTCAGTGTTGTCGATGTAAGACAGAAAAGGCACATTGGTACTTGCATGCTTCAGAAGCCAGGGCCTTGACCTCCGGTCTTCCACGACATTTTATTTCTTGAATATTAAAATCTTTTACCAAATGAAAATATTTGTTTCATTGAGTACTTACTGTTCTAGATGATTTTCTTGTAAAACTTTGAAATTGATGATCTCTAATTCCTTTGAAACATCTGTAAATAAATAATTTTAGATTTTTTAAAGTACGTATTCCGTTTCATTCGTTCTATTTTGTATCTGTGGAATTTTCTCTTTTGATTAGGCAACCTACCAACTAAATGTATTTTTTTATTTGATTTAACAATTCGATTTTTTTTTAACTATTTTTCTACGTTGACTAGCTTGTTCGGGCTGATTGATTAGGTAGATGTTGATTTTTAAAATAACACAAAATTAAGCTTTTTAATATCATTGATTTTAAAGTAAAACCAACCTCTGATTGTAATTTTTGTGACCGTGATTTTTTAGTTTCACGAAGCCTTCTTTGAAACTGTTTGAGAATGAAAAGGTGGTGGATTCCAAGTAATGAAATAAGCAGAAATTTCTAGTAATAATCGGGACAATCATGAGCAGATTCCCATGGTAACGTGCAGGTCGGCAAACAGTCACGGTGAAATACATATTAGTCACCATATCGTCACGTCACGCTGTGATCGACTTAAGTCCTCGCAAAGAGAGAGGAGGACCGCGTGAGGCAGCAATCCTCCTCCTCACGCCCCAGCCGCCGCAACTGGCGACACTACGGGCGTCGGGGATCAAGGGACGATCTCCGGCCACCGTAAGCACGGGTCTGTGGTCGGCGAGTAAGGGCAGCTCGCCGCCCGACCAGAACCAGGCCCGAGCGTACCACGCGTAGCGTTCCGCGCGCGCCTCAAAGAGCCAATAGACCACCACAGACGGGGCCCTAAAGGGCTGATGTTCAGCCGGGGTTGCGGGGTAAGCGCAATGAGGCACCGCGACCTCGGCCCAGAGCAGGAGAAGGAATAGGGAGGTTTTTAGTCAGTAAGAGTCTGACACTCCCTCCCGCTCGGCCCTGGGCGGGAGAAGTCATTTGATGATTTTCCCCTCACAAAAAAAAGGGACCTAAGTCACAAAATCTCACGATGACAAAAAATATAATAAGCGGCGGGCCTAAGAAATCTTTGTCATTATTTACACCGATTCAATGGACAACTAGCATTTAATTTTATGTAAATCAATCGACCACATAAAACACTTCTTTCTTCATTCATTCTTATATGATTCAGCATTCAAAATCACGACCTTACACATAAAACACATTTACCTCCTAAAAGTAAATTAAAATAACAAAATGAAATTCAACGTCAAAATTAATAAAGAAAAACTACCTACCATTAACGTGCCTACCAAATTCAGAGCTCATGTTATAACACGTTTGTTCAACACAACATCAAAAGTACAATCGCAAACAAAATATGTACGATGTTAAACATACCTCCGACCCTACAATTTGAAACTATCTTGTATTAATGTCACTTTATTCAAATGATTAATGCCTACAGTCAGAATTTGAATATTTTATTACGACGTCAGATTTCGAACAATGTTTGAACATAGTTTTGGGACGTGTCATGTAAGTACCTAAAGGGTGTTGATTGATTAAATATTTTGATGTTTCATTATTATGTACAGGGCGTGTTATTGTTGGTAGTTTTGATAGTTTTTGTTGAGTGTATGTTTACTCGTATAAATAGTTTATCATAATCACTTAGTACACAAAAAAGTAGTTTGTTTTTATTCCCTATGTATGCTTAAATCTTTAAAACTACCAACGGATGTAGTTACTGTTTTTTCCAAATAAATAGAGTGATTGAAGAGGAAGATTTATATGTCTTTATGAGGGCTTATATTTCATTTATTAAATAGTGTAGAATTTTGTTATTGTACAAATATTTGTATATTTAGTAAAGTGTTACTAAAAACTACTAATACTAATTCTTAAGTTTAGAAGCATTGTTATTATTGAAGAACTTCACGGTCGGAGTCGGTATGTATATGTCACAGATCCAGAGAAAGCATAAAACAATTCTTAGTATTTTTGTAAAGGCACCTGCGTCATAAAATAATTTTGTTAATGAGAGGAAGTTATCTTAAAAACTCCGTCGGCACTACTAATATGTATTACATTCGAGGAAATAGTTTACAATAGGCACCTGAAATCTCTCCGAAATAATGTAAGTATCATACAAAGTACAATGAAAAAAATATTAAAAAGATTAATTTTAAAATTTGTAAAATAAATTGAATTTAATACGTGAGTACAATTACCGAGAAAAATTGTCCATTGAAAATATTTTCCCAATAATAAAATTAATCGATTATATTGACGCACTGGACTATAAAAATTGGATGTCAGAAGAACAAAGAGCGTCATCGTAAAGTGTTAATAAAATACCGATTGATCGACAATCGGATGCGGGATACGATTAATCGAATAGTAGTATAATCGTTCACGTACAAACGATTATCGATTAATAATCGAGAGCTCGTTTATTATAGGGATAATGTTCGCTTTTTAAAATGATTTGTGTGTTTATTTGCTTTTGTAGTTTGATGGATTAATATGTTTACAAAATGGACATTCCACATATTGTCAATACTGATTATGTAATACAGTTGCATTCACACAACTGCGGTGTGTTATTCTGAAAATAGTTTTTTGATACAAATGTTTATTTACATCATTAACTAGCTACTCTCGCGCGGTTTCTCGGCTCCTACAGATCATAGCGCGGTATTATATAGCCTAAAGCCGTCCTCGATAAATAATCTATTCAGCAAAAAATAAAGATTTTTTCAATTCGAACCAGTAATTTCTTAGATTAGCGCGTTCAAACAAACAAACAAACCCAGCTTCAGCTTTATAATATTATAGTATAGATTTTTACAATAGTTGAGGTCACCTTTTACAATAATAATATCATAATGCACACTACTAAAAAGTTTTTTTAAGAGGTGCATATTATCAAATGTCTTTGACTGACTAAATACCACTTCGCTCTTTCTAACCGGGTAAACCGGGGTATAAATATCGTATATACCTATCTTAATGCTTTACTTAAAAACGTATGTATATTAAATATTTGTGCTTACAAACATTTGTTCTTAACCAAAGATCATAATTGTAATCCTTTAAGGGCTAATTTTTAAATAGTCAGATAAATGCTGTCTGAGGAATAAAAAAAAGTCAAAATAATTTATTTCAATTAGACCCAAAAAGGCACTTTTAACGTCAAACAAAATTTTAAAGATATAAAGTGTCAGTCTGTCGGTCAGTCCTTTTAGTGAAGCTATTTGCTCGTTCCAAAGTGTAGATTCCGATGGAGAAGAACGAGCAAGAAACTCCATGGTAACTCTTTTTAAATCAGTGTCACATAAAGATTCTTGGTAAAAAGTTGCTGTCACTGTCTTATACAAACATTCTGACGTGACAGCATCATAATATTCCCCAGGTAACTTTTATGTAACCATAGAAAAATCAGCCTAAAATATAGTAAGTATATCAATTTTACATTTAAATGTCGTTATTTTAAAGAAACCTTTATAAATAAATGTTTGGCAAATGCTTGTTGTACATAGAAGTATAGTCTACTAGAATAAAGCCTACACAAAAAACTGCGAACTATACGCAAAGTAGGTTTCACATCGGAACCCAATAACCCTTATTCAGCGAATATAAACTTTATACAAATGACACAAAACCTTTCGCAGTTTATTCAAACAATGAAAATAATGCAAGCAAAAAATCTCTGTACCTACTGCCCTGTATAAAAGTCACAGAGTAGATTTTTTTCTACATTGAGACTGAAAAGTTTAATAGTATGTCAATTACTTGTATAATATTTTGTTAAGCTGTGGTATACTACGGAGTAAGGGTGTGGTCAAATAGAAAATGTATCGTCATCTTATTGGCCTATACTGCTCAACATTTAGATTTCCTAACGTTAGTTCCTGTAAACAAATCTTGGTAGTACGAGTCTATTAATGCTTCGAATTCAATCATAATAATTCAATCACAATGTTGTCATGGCCAGAAGGTTAAGGCGGTTCTAAACCTGGCAAGTACCAATGTGACTTTTCCGAGTTATATGTACCTACTTTCAGTAGGATCACGTTTGATCAGTAGTGAGTACAGGTTTTTTTTTGCGAGGGGAAAATCATCAAACGTGCTTCTCCCGCCCAGGGTGGGGTGGGTGTATGTGTCAGACTCTTACTGACTACAAACTCTCTCGTTCCTTCTCCTGCTCTAGGCCGAGGTCGCGGTGCCTCATTTCGCTTACCCCGAAATCCCAGCTGAAAGTGGGCACAGGCTGATGGTGTGATTTGATGTGAATTCAATCACGCATACACAGTCATGATGTTTACACATTGTATTGCGTCTTACCTACCCACAAGTTTTTGAGGAATGTCAGTATGTACAGTTTTATTAAAATCGTAACATTTAATTTGTCTAATGAATAAATTGTGCCAATTCTTCATTGAATTTAGAACCAAAGGGAAGAATAACAAATATATATTATAAGCCAAACTTTGTGTGGGCAGTTTCGATCCCCACCACCTCCTATAAAAGCAAGCGCTCAGTTGCGTGCGACTTCACTTGCTGCTTGGTCGTTGAGAAGAAAGGTGGTTGGCGTCGATACTGTAAGACTGTTCTTTTTGCTTATTTTTATTTTCCCTGTTGTGTAACTGTGTTGATTTTGTGTGGTAAAATTAATGGTTGTTTTGTGTCGTTTACACTTTTGAATTATTTTCGGTTATAGTGAAATAATTGTTAAATTAAGTTAATTTGGAATAAAAACTAGGTAATTTCGTTGTAATTTGTCTTTTTTTTTATATTTAACACTTCTGGTTGCTAAAATCAGAAGTGGGATAGGATTTCGCTCACAAATAGCCTTGTTAGATAAAAACAACCGTTAATTTTCATAATTATGCCACGTGCTTCCCGTGAACGGTTGGTGGAAACACCGCCTCGCGCTGAGGTGAATCGTAGTCGTCGCAGTGAGTCTTCGCGGCGCGATAGGCACCGTTCGCGGTCACATGGTGATAGATCTCGCGTTCGGTCGGGTCGTAGGAATAGCCGTTCACGATCTCGTGGTGGTAAAAACCGCTTGCGCGCGCAACGTGATAAAACGCGTTCTCGTTCACGCTCGCGCCTTAATGAGACTCATAGTGACCGTTCGCGGACTCGAGGTGCTTCCCGTTCGCGTGAAAGGTCTAGGTCGCGTTCCGTTTATTCGCGTCGCCGTCAAAGTAAATCACGGTCCTACCCTCAAGAGTGTACAGTGAAAGATACCTTAAGTGCAATTATGTCACGACTAATCGCGATAGAGGAAAATACTGCCAGTGATTCGCATATTCCGTCTACCCATCGTGGCAGCACACCTCCTTTAGACAAAAACAATAGTTCTACAACGCAAACACTTACTGATGCTATCGGTTTGCTAGTGAATAGTAAACGAAGTAACAGTTATTACGTGTCGAATTTTGACCCGGCTATAAATAATTTTGAGGTGTGGTGCAACGAGGTGGAAAGGGCTAAGCTAGTGAACCATTGGGATGATTTTGAGTGTTTCTCTCGCGTAGCTCATTGCTTGAGGGGCGATGCGAAAGTCTGGTTAAATGAGTGGAGCACGAATGATCGTTCGTGGTTCAACTTCGTGAAGGAGTTTAAATCCCTGTGCCCTCAAAAGATCAACTATGCTCAGATTCTTCATGAAGTCATAAACACCACTTCCGAAAGATTTCTATCGTATGCTGAATACGCGCGTCGTTCGTTGCTGCGCTTACGTGTGATCAAAGGTTTGAGTGAGGAACTCATGGTTCAAGTAGTGATACATGGTATCAGTGATGTGCAGGTACGCGCAGCAGCGACCAACGCTGATCTAACAATTGAAAATCTCGTTTCATTCTTGTCCACCTATGTTAAGCCCGCGCGCAAATCCGATAATAATCGTAACCAAGACAAATCGGTTCCGGCTAGCGCTAGTATGACTAAAAAACGCCACTACAATGGATCGGGTCAGGCTGATAACAAATGTTTTACTTGTGGTCTGACTGGTCATTTTAAACATGTATGTCCCAATAAACGTAATTTTACGGATAAGCACAACGGGCGCGACAAACACGATAACGGTTCCAGACCCGTTTGTTCTTTTTGCAAGAAGTTAGGGCATAAGGAAAGCGATTGTTTTACTAAAGCTCGGTCCGAAGCTCAAAATAGCAGTAACAACAACAATCAGCGTAAGGTTAACCTGTGTAGTGAGCTTTCTAAAGCAAGTGATAACAATGACATATGTACAGCTGTGATCCAAGGTATACCAGTTGATGTTCTCATAGATAGTGGTGCGCTCAATGTGTCATTGA